AAAAGGAGAGGAGGATGCTCATCACTGAGTAAAGGCACCACTGCCACCCGCCAGTTTGCCAGCCTCAAAGCTCTCTATCAGTTAAAAACCCAACAAACAAGCAAGACTGTTTAAACTATCAGATGATAAACCGCTTTAAAATCCACTCTTGCTGCCTTCATGCTTTTGCACACTCGTGGCCGCGCTGGATCAAAACCCTTTCTTAAATGCATGCACTGAGCACAGATATTTCTTAACAGGAAAGGCACAGTGGCAAGTCCAGAGTATTACAACTATTCTACTTAAAAAATGGGAAGTGCTTTAGGTTCCAGGGAATGGACCTCATGGCTGGTTTCTTTATAGAGAAACAGCAGAGTATTACCCGTTTCTGAAAGGTAAGGCTGAAAGGTGGAAAATATAAGACTGGTATATAATTCCACAGTTCCTACTCATCTAAATGCTCTTGTCTGTAGAGCTGGCTGAAATAAGAAACAGGCTTTTGTGAACCAGTGACAGGACAATGCTAAAAGGCTGCAAATTAATCAGTCATTCCAAATGTTCTTATTTACAGTACTTTCAAAGAAATGTATATAATAGAAAGCCCAGTTATTAGCAAAGAAAGCCGCTTGCCAATCTCTTTCGCTCAACAAAATTACTTTCCCCTAGATTTTTGAAGTAGCTTTATGATCCATAAATTACATACGGAACCCAGAAGGAATACACAAAGCTCCTTCAATTATTAATAACTAAATGCAATGTAATTCATGATTGTGCAGCAAGCCAGCTGCATTTACTCTGTGATGGTTTGCCACTGCAGGGGTTGTCATTAGAGGATGCCAAATGCTTAAAATAAGAAATCATCCATACTAAACCAGTTGTAAGGTGAATTTATAACCAACTCCTTAAGATCAGTCATTACGAGGAAGCATGTGATGCATTTTAAGTGACAATATTCTTCATTTTTAGGGTAAATTTACATTTAAAGATGACAAAAATTATCATAAATTAGCATAAAATTAAAGTTACTTGATTTTACTAGGCAGCTAATAGTCAGAGCAATGTGGCTCAATAAAAATCACACGCTACTAATCTTCCATTAAGAAATTGCAATAAATTCTTGCTCCTAGGAAACAACACAGGACAGAAGAGGTGGGAACTCAAATGTGATTCCTACTGACTAGGTTATTAGTGAACAAGGCTTCTAATAGATGGAACTTAAATTAAGATGCTATTTTCATGTTATTAGATCTACTCCTATTTGTTAGTTTGTACTGAGAGACTACCAATAAAAGGAAAGTTACTGTTCCATGGAGCAGAGCGACCATGTGCCAAAAAGACATCCCTGATTTGTCCTGCCCTTGAGTCTCTAGTGTTTACTTTTACATAAAAGGGCTATAATTTGGATTCAAAAGCTCTGCCCATGGGACTTACACCAGATCCCAATCCTTTCAAAAAAGCATAGAAATAGAATGAAAGGCCCAGGGATTAAAGAAACAATGTCCCAGGGGAAGGTGTACTACTGTGGGGTTAGGATCCCACAGGGACTAACTGCAAACAGGGATGATGACAAAGAAAAACAGAAGGTCACAGGAAGGTGAAAAAAAGAAATCACTTTAAAAAAAAAAAAAAAAGAGGAGGAAAGGAAATACCAATACACTTCAGAAGAAAGGCATCTATGGTGGAACTGGTCAAGAAATGGATAGCATTTGTATCTCAGAAAAATCTTTGGTTTTCACTTACATTTTGAAAGATTTCCAACCAGTTCTGCTTGGGGAAATAAAAAAGGAAGAGAAAGCAGGTCAAGGAGAGAATTAGCAAAGGATATCTGCAGAAATGAAAATGAGTTATACAGGCAGAGTGTTTTAGTATATTCATAAAGTCAAAAGTCACATACCCTGAAAGTAAATTAATCTGATTTGTATCTTGCTATGCAATAGCTCAAACATAAGATATGAAGAATTACTTATAATTGATATTAGATTAATAGGAGTTGAATAAACTAATATCTAAATCATTCATATTCTGCACATGCTTCTGAGACATTCAAAAGCTTTCTATTGCTCTTACACAGTCACACATTCACTAAGAAACGAATCTGTGATTCACTGAGTTCAATCTAGATCATCAGTAGATAGAACTCCCCTGGGTTTCAGGAGACAGATTTTGCCAGTAGAATCTATTTTTTCTCACAGTTCTGGCTGGAACTCTAACTTTACTACTGAAACAATAATAGGTTTTTAAAACAAGTGCTTGCTGTGATGTTTGGATTTTTTTAAATACAGAGGGGAAGAAAAGGTATTTAAGAGTTCTGTGCTTACTGGATGGGAAATTTATGAAGTAATACTTTATTTATTTTTCGTTCAGAACGTATTTCCAAATGTTTTAAAGCAGTGCCTTACTCTTTCAGGAAAGTCCATGGGACAGTCTCTAGAACTTTTCATTCTACTGACATGTACTATGTTATTTGCTTGAGGGATTTTAACCATTGTTATACAGCTGAAAGTACCATGCACAGATTCTTCTTGAAATATTTCAATTTGGCTCTAGCACAATGATACAACCCTCAAGCATCGCAGAGATAAGTTGGGGTTTTTGAAAGCCCAACTCCATTCCCATTGTTAATGGATAGGAGTGTTGCTACTAAGGTCATGAGAAGCCAGATGGGACTTGCAGCAGCTGGATCTCAAGTCAGTAGGGAAATAATGCACAGTGTTAGTGCCTCTGCCTTTCAAAGGGGTCTTCCTCAGGATGAGACAAAAGTAAGTCTCAGTCATTTTACCAAGCGTGATATATCTTCCTTAAATTTCTCTACTAGCTTTAAAAAATGAAAGATAATCACAATCTGTTTGCAAAATGGCAAAAAGTTTTGCGGAAAAATACTTACTGTATTCCACACCAGAGAAAGGTATATTCCTTGGATGAACAAAGCAAAGCTATATGGAGTTTAAATATCACTGTATCTATTTCTAATCCTTCTGGATGACGGATATTGTATCTGTCAGTTCTGGTTACATACCAGTTTTGGTATGTAATTGGAAACACCCAGTTAAAAGATATTAAGAAAGCAGTACAGGTAAGTTGGGTTTGTGGATTTTGAAAAGTTCCAGGTTTGCTAAAAAAAAAAACCCCAAAATCAAAAAACAACAACCCAACCAAAACCAAACGCAACAAAACAAACCACTCTTTTTTACTGTATAGGTAACATAATTTCAAAGGGACATTCAGGACAGTCAGAACTTCCAGCTACAGGTAGTTGAACTGTTACTTAAAACAACTACATACCAGCAGACAGGAGGACGAGCAAGCATAGGAAAAGTAAGTGGCGCTCACTTGCTGTATGATGAGATTCTACCGGGGGTTAGAGTTAAAAGTCAACAACAAGAAGTCAGTCACACTATTGACAGAAGCTCTTACAAAGCTTGTATGCAAAGGACCACAGTAAATGCGAGCCGTGAACTGCCAGCAGGAAGAGCACTTTGTCAATACCAACAGCAGATGTGAAGTCAAGACAAATGCAGCCTGCTGCATTTTGCAAAAAAGAATAATCAAGTCAGCCAGTATTTTTGTCCTTTAGTTACTAAAGAATTCCTTCAGCTCCCAAGGATAACTCATCCTGCTTCTTACAGGTGGGAAGGGGAATGCAATGCAACAAGGATGATTTGGGGTTTGTTAAGCTGATCATGCCAGTAATAAGCAAGAACATTAAGAATTTATAAAAGGAAGTACCTACCAGTTCCTTTACCTAAGCAAAAATAATAATTCACATATAACTATATAATTATACTTATGCTTTGGCATCTACGCTGAAAAAATAAACAAAAATAAAGCCAGCATGAGAAATAAAGTCACCATAATGAAAGCTAGGCCTGAGGAATAATCTAATAATTGCCCTATAAATTTAAAGTGAAAATAATAATAAATAACAATCTTCACATCTTTGACTAAAGTTAAGACACAAAAGTCATTCTTGTCACATCCCAATGATTAGGAGCTGCACAAGGAACTGTGGCATTAATGACAGAAGAAGAACAGATATTTTAAAATCTACTCATGACGAAGTAGGTGAGATTTGTTATTGTCACATTTGGGGATTTTGTTTTGGTTTGTTTTGGGTTTTTGTTATTTTTTCAAAATAAAGGAAGAGCAGTAGCTCTGCCAGTGCAGATGCACTTGTTTTACCTAGGAAGAGGGAACATTTTGTCTTGGAAAAGTGGAGAATTTTTTTACTAGGGAAATTACCTGGGAAGCTTGTGTTTGCAATTTACAGATAATAGTGAAATTCCTTGAGAAGCTGCAAATGTTTGGTGAGAAAGGAGAATTGAAAAAAAAGGGAAAAAACCCAAGTAATTTCCAATTAATTTTTATTTTCAACCTGCAATACTTAAAAAAAACAGAGTATTGCTAACAAACACTACCAAAAGTTATTTAACCTATTACCTAGGCATAAGTGGCATGTAAAGAAGTTTTGCCTAAATTTTCAACTAGCCCAAAACAATAGCTGGGATTCATTCTGGGGAAATATGAGCTAAAAAAGGCAGTTAAGCAATGGAGTCAACACTATCCTCCATCCTGACATTTCTGATGCATCGACAAACCAAGAGAATGGCAAATCCAGCCAAAGCATCTTTACTGGGACTGGCTCTGCTCAGTTCTTCCCAAATCCTAAAGGTTTTAACTGCTCCTTCAAGTTTCCCACCAAGGTGGCTACAAAATCTTCTTCCCTCTTTTTCACCTCCACCTCATGCACATTTGCTGGCCAGTGTAATGGGATGGGGTTTGTATTTGGCCTTGCCATCAGAACAGGCCACTGAATAGGCCATTAAACCTCATGGGCCAGGACTAGAAGCACTTTAATCTGGCCAAAAAAAATGGGGTAGCATGGCCTACACAGTACAAAAAGCACTGAAGACCAGAGCTTCATAAACCTTGGACTCCCTGGGAGCCCACGTGAATGCTTTTCAGTGGCCTCTGTAGCAGTGAACGTGTGGGGCAGAGGAAAGCAAGAAAAAGGCCTCGTACATAAAAATTACCACAGGTATTTTGTAAAACACCTTTTTCAGAATAACCTTGACCAAATTACAAGGCCTATGCCACACAGCTGGTGACTCTCTGTAGAGTGAAATTCCATCAGCCTCACCTCAGTGGATGTGCCCATGTCAGGCTTAGGCTCAGCAGGTTCTACCGCACTGCAGCAGGACATGGCCATAGACACAAACCACTCATGCACTATGGATAACCAAAGAAAAGTATAAACATCATGGTGGAGCCTGTCTGCTGAATGTGCTGAGACTGTACTCAAACAGCCTGTGCTCTTACAAAGGGCTGCTGAAACTGGTAACACCTTACTCATGTGGAAGGTGATTATATGTGATAGAGCTTCTTGCACCTTGCCAAGATGCACGTTGCCAGATGCATGGGCGACTTTGATAGAGACCATGCCTACTAAAGCAGACATGGAAGTCCGCCTAGGTAGACAAGTAAAAGGTATTTTCCAGTGGATGTTCCAATAAGAGCAAGAGCTCATCTTTAAAGCACAACCTATTCCTTGCTGCATGTAAGGCACTACTGGCTTTGCTTGCTTTCATTTAATACCTTTGTAAGTCAGTATTTTCTTTATTCCACATCCAGACTATCACTGCATTTGCTTTTAGATTATCTCAGGGAACTGTATGGGAATACGGTCTGCCAAAAATATATATGATGGATCTCATGTTAGAGACATGCTACACGCTGTGCAGCTTTGAAGCGTTATTTTCCCCTGCTGTCTTCGGGTGGGTCTTAGACTTGTCAGCCACAACATGGAAAATATGGATGGTAAACAAGCTAAAAGTGGTGTGAATAAAGTAAATAAAAAGCTACTGTCAAAACACATCCAATTATGCTCTGCTGTGGAGATTTAACACCACAGGATGATTTTCAAAGTAAAAATAGCGTGGGATGCTTTTTCCATTTGTAGATTAGTTTGGAACGAAAGGCCTATTTGTGCAATTTAAGCCAAATGCACTACAACATAATGACACTCTCCTCAATTGCTATTCTTTATTCATGGAAAGTGGTGGATTTGTTGTGTTTGTTAAATACTTTTCAGTAGGGTTTTTTAATCCAAACTACTTAATTCAATTGTACTTTATTCTATATATAAAAAATAAAGTAATTAAATGTAATTACATGGGAAGAGCAACACATCGATACCTTGTGCAGGAACAAAATACACTAATACAGTCAGTCACACTGTGGAAGAAGAATAGCACAGTAAACTGATGGGAGCTAACACATCAGAAATCACAGATTTCAGCATCTTAGTCCAATGCTATGGTTTTGGCCTCCTTTCTGAATAACAGATTAGTCAACATGCTCCACCTAATTACAACTGCAAATTTAACCCGAGACCAAACTGTTTTGACGCTAATGGCAGTCTGCACAACAGGACAACATACTGCAAGTTATCTGCATGTAGTCTAGGGGACAACAAAGCCAAAGACCAGTAAGATACTGAGGAAATAAACACGAAAGAAAATAAATAGCTCAGACAGCAAGGCAGTGCCAGCAGAAGACCAGCACCTTACCAAAGAACCTGTAGCTCCTACACATGGTAACTGAAGAAAACCAGTTAAGAGGTTTCATTTATTATGCAAGGATCCACTACCAAGAAAATACTAGAGGTCTTCTATATAAATGATGAAAACTACCTTTTTTAGGTGGTTTTAGGCATTTCACTTAGAGCCCCAAAGGAACTCTTCTCAGGAAAATATACATTTGAGTAAAAACTTCTTGGAAAGAAGCTGTCTGGCTTCTCAGTATATAGGCAGAGGCATGTAATATCTGCAGATAACTCTAACAGGAGCCTGCACCACCTCCTGTGGCTGCCCAGCAGACCTCCCTGCTGGTGAAATCTGGAAGGGGAGATCAACCTTCTTGCACCTGAACAGGTCTGAAAACATCCCCTGCCAGCCTGACTGGAGCATCTCCCTCTATGCAGGAATGACAGTTCCGTGTGAGTAGTACTCCTACTCTCAACTGCAACCAAAGAAGGCTGCATAGATGCTGTGGTAAAGTCCCCCTGCTGCGCATGATAAGCAAAGTTATTCTCAGGAGATGCCATGAAAACTCAACATGGCAGGTCCTAATTAGCCCCAAGAATCTGAGGAGAGGGGTAAGCACCAAGAAACAGGGTGTCATTTTTACAGTAACTGGTAACAGAAGTATTCAGTTTGGAGAGGAACAGATGATGTTCTAAGAGGCATTGTGCATCCACACTAATCAAAAGCTTTCAAAGCCTTTTCCCTCCACCCTCCGCTCCCTTTTCAAGAATTGGAAGAGGTGATATTGCAGAAGCCCTTAAATGTGAGCAGACATGATGCAGACCAGGAATATATTCATAGCAAGCTATTTCTAATAATGCCTAAGGCTGGAGAAGAGAACAAAAAGAATTAGAAATGTCTGCAGTAACTAATTATAAATGCTTTTCTCTGAGACAGAGCAAAAAGAACATAAGCAAGGGAGGGGTAAAATCCCTAATTTCCCAAATCTACATTAGCAGGTAGCTTGTAGAAATCCTGTTCTACCTGCTGGGAAAAAGCACAAGAAGTAGTCCTCAGAAAATGCCTAAAATTTAACTATATACAGCCTTACAGTGTAGCAATTCGAGGACGTCTACATAGAAGGAAGTTTTCAGTGGCCTGGAAGGAAAAACAGTTCTATCTCCTCCTTGAGTCAACCCTGATTATGACACAGGGTCTAAGCAGGAAATGCAGATAAACTCAAGAGAGAATATTTAGACCACTATGTCCTCCATTTCGCCTGGACAGCTCATAAAAACTATACATAATTAACAACCCAGTAGTGCCACAGCTCTGCAATCCCCACTGGAGTAGAATACAAGTCCTGGCTAAAGCCAGCGGTGAAGCTACTGAAGGCAGCTGACCTCCAGTGCTAGCAAGGCCAGACTGTGGCAAAGCACGATGGAGGGGAACTCTGCCGAATTCTGGAGGATGACCCTCAGGGTTGCATCCCTTCAGCAGAGCAAATGTGAAAAACAGCTGAACCAGTTGCCCATCAGAAAACACGTGTTTTATTCCAATTAGTGTCTTCCCCTCTCTGCATTTTAAGCATCAAGAATGTCATAGGTTCTCTCTCTCCATTTATTGGATGGAAATTCTACACCCAAAGGGCTAGACACTGATTCTGAAAAGGGGTAAAAAGAAATGAGAAAATGAGAAAAAAATCCCAAGTAAATAATAACATAATAAGTAGCTATCAAGATGCTTTATTTCACGGCCTTGCAGTCATTGATTGAGATCAGAGTGTGTAATTGGAACAGCCCAGCAAAGCGGGGTCAGCGCTAATTATGAAACCTCACCCAGGATACTCAACTGCCTGAGCTGAAATAGCTTTTGCAGATACTGAGAGTTCTGAAAGATAAGGGCACTGGCAGCACACTTGACCAAATTAATCTCTGTTGTGCCTGTCTGAAAATGGAGCTACACCTGAGGCAAACTGTTCGTCCACCAATAAACCACCATTGCTTTAAGTAAAGCAAGCCCCTGAATCACAGTTCTTATTGCCATCACTAGATGTCTCTTACTGCCCTGCTTTCTGGAAAAGTTAAGTATCTTCAAATAACATTTTACCCTTGAATATTTTGGTATAACCTTCAAATAGAAACTGTAGTGAAAGCAACTGCCTCACAAAGACCCAAGTTAATCAAAACGATAGCTATATGTTTAGATATCTTTCCGAATCTGCTTTAATATTATTTATATTCTTCTCATTGGTATTTAATCCAGGAAAAGGTCTTTAGGAAAAGGGAGAGAGGGACGGAGGGAGAAAGGGACAGACAGAGAGAGGGAGGGAGTGAAGGAGATGCAGAAAAAAGCATTTGCACTTAGAAAAACAGGTCACTGTTGGAGGTTCTCACCATAAACTGCCTGCAATTTGCTAGTGAAAATAAAACTGCTTTTTACAAACCAGTGTGCAACAGACAGATGTGCCATGACTATCTTGCAAAGAATGATAACCAAGAATTTTAGGTGGCAATTTCATTTCAGTTAGAACCTCAGAAGTATTAGCAAGCAGCAAAGTATCTGCTGACCAGAGTTTACATATACTTTTACATTCTCCGCAAAATACTGATTTATTTCATAAAGATCCCGCAATGAGCCACTCTCACCTTACTGTGACAGTCATGCTTCCTATAGGGTTGATTGGCAATGGCCTGGCTCCAGGAAATATTCCTCTACTCAGAACTCGAGCTCCATTTTGTATCACTCCCGGAGGAACTAAACAAAAAAACAAACAAACAAACAAAAACAAAAAAGAACATTTTTTCTTTTAAAGGGAAAGTTAGAAAAATGTAGGTGCAAAATGTGGAACTTAAGCTTTTCAGTGAATTGAGAAAACATCAGTGAGGCTCGTGTAGTACACTGCTTACCTTGAACATCTCAGCCTCAACTTCTGTGAACGCCATGCTATTTTCACAGCAAAAAAATTAAACAGAAACCAGTAATAAGATGGCCTGTGGAACTCACTGCCTGACCTAGTTGCTGCAGATCACTCCTTGTACAACCACATCACTTTTGTTTTGTCATTGCCATTCTGTTGGGAATGCATGTGCTAAGACTCAAAACCAGCTATGAGCATAGATGTAACGATTTCATCTACAGTAAGAAACAACAACCCCGTACAGATAAACAGAACATAAGCACTTCACTGCAAGAACATAGGTCATAGCTTTTTATCATCCCAGCTTACTCTCTGAGCAGCAATCTCTTGGCCTCTGTCTCCTGCAAAATAAAATATTAACTACAAATGTGGATTTACTAGGAAGGGAAAAAGAAGAGGCTAAAAAGGCATTAGCTCCACATCACTAATTAGCCCCTCTCTCTTGCCACTGCTGACCTCTGCCACCCAGCCTGACAGCAGTCATGTGCCTCCAGCACAGGGCCGGGTCACAGCCCAGCCTCCTCCATCCAACGCAGCGCACTGATGCTGCCGCTGACACCAAACTGCGCAGGTACCGGCTGCTACAGATGAGAGATTTCCCTGGGGCCTTTAAATTTGGCTATTTACAAAAAACTGCAGCTCTGGCCAACAAGATTTTAACCTACAGCCACGTACTTTTTTCCTATCCAGGCATGTTTCTGTGAACTGCTCAGCCTAGGGCAGCCAGCTCCCCAGCGCGAGAAATAGCAGAGGACGCACTACCAAGGCACCACTGAAGGAAGAGTCTCAGCAGGTCCTCAGCATCTTCCTTCTCCACCCTGGGATGCAGGACTACTGAACACAGTTCTTATCCTAGGCACTTACCAGGGACTTATGCATAATGCCATTTGTTTGCAGAGCTATTACGTGCCTTCAGGCTGGAACAGTAACTTCCAACAGCCTTAGCCCCAACGTGCTTCTTTAATGTCCACAGCTAGCCAGTTCACTCACTTTTGCTTTACTGTAAGTCATCATTCATACTCTAATGTCCCCTGATGGGGAATGTCCAAAAAAAGAATGATGATCATTATGCTGGATTTATTATTTTTAAACCTACAGATATTATATAAATACATAACGTAAATTTAAACCATATCACTTTATATACACTTACAGAATTTTATTTTTAAACAAATTACAGGGAGACCAGAAAAATCATTCAGCCTACGAACGAACACATATACTTTACATGCTCAACTTCAAATGCTCACACCTGAAAATATTAGTGTATTCTGAGGCAGATAAATATAGGCTCAGAAGTACATTATTTCTAAGCTGCTGAGGTACATTTCAGCTTCCTATCAACACCAAGCCAGATCCATACCTCCCTTCCTGCTATCCCGACGCTCACCTTGCTTCACTCCAGACCACACAGATTAGTTCTGGGAAAATAATCTTCTTTCTCCTGCTGGTAAGAGCACATCACCCTTCTAATCAAATCCTGTCACTGCGTTATACCCATCCTTGCTTTAGAGCACCCCTGAAGAACAGGTCATTTATATTTAGGTGCTTAAGTACAGCCTCAAATGGCTAAAATTATAGAACTTCCTTTATAACAACTAAGGTCAGCTTTCAATGACCAAAATAGTTTAAAAATTGCCTTTTGCTACTTATACTTCACTATTTTGCACTTTTTCCTCCAGCACTAGATTATGAGAAATCGATCAAATCTTGTTTCACTCAGGGGGCACTATCAGGCTTTCAATGCTCCGATGTCTGGGTTTGTAGATACTGTTGAGGTGGGTTATCTTGCTAAAAACTCCAAAATCTGAATTTCTTATTATATTTGTTTCAACAGCATGACCTTAAGGTGGCTAAAATACCAGTGCCATGAATGAAAAGCAGCCTGCTCAACCTCAAATGCACAGATAACAGGAAAATTCAAAGCAACAGATAAACCTGCTAAATATCAAAAGATCAACCAAAAGACATCATTTCCAATGGGCTTTCAAGAGGGACAGATTTTGTACTGCACTACACAGTATGATTTCTCTGCATTTACAAAGTCCTGTTAAAGGAAATGAACCAGGAGTTTGAGCAAGAAAGATCTGGAAATTTTCTCTTTACTCTGATACAAATCATGGAGTTTTATATTGAAATGAAAGATTTATGTGTACAGACAGAGCAGAGCCATGTGTCAGTTAGCTATAGATGTTGCCTAATATATATATACATGTCTCAAGGGAAACACACTGAAAGTTCTACTGCAAAAAGAGAGCAACTTGAAGCCCAAACTCTTCTTTCCATGGCTGCCCAATTATCCCCTCTGTTGGTAGAATTAGCTGATGCTTATCTTACTCTTTCTCCTCCCCTACTCTCTCTTCTGCCTTACTGACAACTCACATTGCTTCTTTAAAAAATCCTGTTCACTTCCCCATAATTTCTTCAAAAATATTGTCTCGTGTCTTTCCTTCTTTACCTTCTCCGAGTTTCCTTTTTTCCTGCACTCCTATAAATATAAAATACACTGCCAAGTCTCATAGACTTCCTAGATATTGACATCCCCACTCGAACCCATCCTCCATCTTCCTCCACCCTTTGGAGGTTTGTAAGTCCCAGTATGCTATTCAGGACCACTCTCTTTGAAAGCTTCCCATTTAAAAACAACCCCACTTCAACACACATACACACTCTCCACATCTTCCCTTCAGGAATTAACAACTGGTTAAAAAAAAAAAAAAAGTAGTTTGCTGTCCTCTGAAATATCCCCAAAGAGACAAGTTGGTACCTACTCCGGCCTATGAAATTCACTTCAACTACGTCTGGTCTG